CTTTTCAAAATTTTGATTGTACCAGAACTGAGGCTGCAGATAGTTTATAGTAATATCCGCTGATTTCAAGGGTTTCCTTTGGTGGCAGGAGAGGAAAAGGTGATTTTATGCTGCTGATGATTTTGCTTCTCCATTTTCAGAATTAAATGCTTTGATATTTCTTGTCATCTTGTTTCTTATTTTGAATTAAATACAATATTAAAAATTACAAACAGTTTTAAAAGTTTAAATCAAAGCAAACAGATCAGCTTCAGAGAGCTTTCTTTTTTTATAGATTTGCGGGGCTTGTTCAACATTTCTTAACTGCAGAATTTCCTTTGGAACACAAAGAGATAACCTGAATTCTTTTGGCATCTCTAATTATAAAATGCTTTGCTTACATTTTTATCTGCTATTTTAGCGGGACAAAATTTCAGTGCACAGAGTTAATTCATTAGGGGGTGAATCAGGGATTTGTAGCACCAGGAGTTGTTCTTGTTACTTCTGCTTCCTGGGAGGTGGTGCCAGGCGACTCCATTAAAACCAGTTCCTCAAAAGCAGTTGGAAACCGTGTCCTGTTTGCTTTCTGGGTGTCTGACAGCAGAGGCTATGAAGGACCAAGGTGCAGAACCAGTCAGCACTCACAATTGTAGCTAAACTGAATGGGGAGCCAAGGTTTTAAAAGCTATTGAATACTTGCCGTGGTAGACTTTTTAAAAAAAATCATTCCTGCATGTGTGAAGTTGGTCTACCAGCTCTAGCTATGTCCATATTTCTCTTACTTCTGACTAAGAATGTGGATGGTGATTTCACCTGAACTTATAGCAGTGTTATCCTCATTCATATCTGGTTGAAACACTATACAAATTAATGACATTGTGAAATCTGTGAGAATCAACATAGATTCTTCCTTAAGAGTAAGACTGAGCTGTGTACCAAAATGTGAAGCCACACCTTGAATTATATAGATAAATGGAATATTCCCTAGATGCTTACTAGGAATATCCCCAATGACCCAAAGACCCTAAGAAAATACATTATGGATTCACCTAGGGCAAGACAGTAATTGTCATGTGTGTATTCAAGGGGCCTGAATTAACATTGCTCAGGCAGCAATATTAGAGGTTGTGTATTTTGACTGCTTTGCTATGAAACTTCAGTGTGCTTTCACTGTAAGGATGTATATAAGTGTGTGTAAGTAATATGTTGACTAGGATATTTGGGAGAAAAATAATTGTGGTTGGTACAAAGCTTTATTTATATTTCATAGAAGCTGAATCAAACTCCAGTAAACTTTGTTTCTTAATGTTGCATGTTTTCCCTTTTTCACTGCTAGTGAGTTTCCTTGTATACTTCAGCCTTATCATCAAATTATGAGGGAATTTAAGGATTGTTGAAGACAGTGTCCAAATGCGGAGTCCTTATTCCACAACCCTAGTAAATTGGAAGTAATCCACTTATAATTATACTTGCAGTCTGCTAAACTGGAAGAGCCAGCTCAAAACCAAGCTCTTCTTTGGGTTTTGAGTCTGGATTTGTACTGCCTCTGGGAGATTTTTAAAATGAAACTGTCACTGCAGAATCAGCAGAGGTGCTGACTTATTTGAAAAGCTCATTGATGTAATAGGAATTAGGATGGATTAAAAGCTCTGATGGGAGGGTATAAGTAGACACTTGGTATATGGTTCTCCCCGGATTACCTCTTCCTCTATTTGGGTTTCTTGGTGAGATACCTTCTCTCCTCTTACCAGAAATAGGTCCATATGATGTCCAGAATTTTCAAAATTGATTAAAGACTCTGAATATTGTCAGGTTCTGAGTATTCAACATGAAACATTGTTAGAGTTGCCTAATATTCAGAAAGTGCTCAACACCTCTTTTATGAAAGTCTGTTTCCTTTGAGCCAGGCCCATAAAATTATTGGTCACCTCAGAACATACACATCAGTCTCCTTCCTCACTAGCACAAAAGCCCCAGCTGGACAAAACTGCTATTACTTCTATAGCTTGCCATGAACATCAGAGCTTGGCAGAATTTCACTACCTTCAGTTCCTTCCACCAGTGATGCATAACTGTGATTAAATAAGTTCTGTCCTCCTTTGGAATATGGCCACAGTTTAAATTGCTCAGAGGCAAGTGAGTCAGATCAGGCTGAGTGCTACCTCCAAGCTCAGCCCCTTTTCTCAACCCAGTGTTCCCTTCTGGCCTCTGTGGTTTCCTCTTTGCAAAAAGCACCTCTCCATATTGCATTGGTTAGCTGCTTCTGAATTTGTATGCAATAGGACAGGAGGTACCAGATTCCCTGGCCCCCAGGTTATGTAATTTTACAGCCTAAAAAGGTAAATTATTGATAGATTTCTGGTTCTCCAAAAATAAGTGAGTGAAATATTTACAGAGTAAGATCTGGACATGATCTTTGCTTGAGTTCATTATTCTGCCTGTTGCTCCCCCGTGCTTCTCATGCCTCTAGACAGACTCGGTTTAATATCCATCCCAGATATACTGCCATCTCCAAGCTTCTGGCAGTCACTGTTATCTGTCACACTGATGTGCTACACAGAAAAATTGTTCTGCATTTTTTGGTGGAGAAATAAAAAGTTATTGGCATAGGTAGTTTGGAAGACAGAACAGCTTTCTTACCCAGTGAGATATTATTGTGTTTCAGAAGCATCTGAAGGGAGTCAAACCTAGTCCACACATATGTTCAATTTCACATGGTGTGTGGAGGCCAAAATTTGAGGCCAGCTGCTCCTAAGTCTTTGGCATGTGCTTTTCTTTAACCACATTGAGCATTGCCTGAGTGTATGTGCTTGCATGGTTGTGGCCTCAGCTTCGGAGCCATATATGTGTTTCTTAGCTTTAAAAAGAAAGAGGAGAAAATACGTCATTTGGAGTTAAGTCTAGAAAAGTGGTTTGCTGTCTTTTGGCTTATTAAAGTGCAGTAGTACCAGAAAATATAATGTGACAACTACAGCCTGACTTTTGCATCTATATGGGATAGACTTTAATATTGTTTTAAAACTTAGACAGTATAGGAAATGAAGCCTCAAAACTCATGTATTCTTGTTGCATGTAAACTGGTACTTTTTTGTCACACATGAGGACAGACATTAAAAACAACTTTATAAAGTATTTATGAGGTTTTGATTTACCACAATTATTTTCTCTGGCTTTTAGAGTCTCTGAATAGTATCTTAATGCTAGATCATATTTTCTGACAACAGAACACCAGATACACTGTAATGATTTGGCATTCAGCCTTTTGGAATGAAGGCCAAAACTGGCTAAATAAATCTTTTCCAATAGCAAGGAGCAATGATTGCATTGTAAACTCCGGATAAATCTGTGATATTACAGAAAGCAACTGTTTTGCAATAAAATGACTTGAAAAAAAAAAAATCTATGGAAAAAATTTCCCGTACTGGAAAGATGCCAACGTGGCATTATGCTACCAGAGTCTTCTATACTGTTGCAACTGAACATTTAATAATGCGACAAAGTTTTGTTTTTTTTTTTCTTGATTATTACACTCGAGATTGGGTGAGAATCCCAGAAAGGAGTAGTATTTAATAGAAATGTTAACTTTATTAATAACGTATAAAACACATTGGGATTCCTAGTAGTCAATTCTACACATGGTTAAGAAAAGGCAGGTGGTCTGAGAAATAGCTTGGGCTCGTGCTATGCAAGATTTCTGTCACGAGAAGCAAAGCTCTGAGCTGCTTTGTGTTCAGCTGGAGACAGTGGGATAAAATATTCACCAATGTGCATTTATTGCTCATGGTGCAGGAGTGTAGGTCTTAAATGCAATGCAAGAGATCAGGGCTGTCGTGCTAAGCACCCCACAAGTGGGTAGATGGACATTATCATCACCCAGAAGAGCTTATAATTTAAAATACAGATGCCTCGGGGCTGGTGGAAAGGGAAGCAGACGTTTAAGAGAAGCAACTTATGGGAGCCACAAACCTCCTGTGGCAGCAGCGGGAGGAGGAGCGGTCCCAGAGGCTGAGGTACACGGTGTGAGCTGTGACTTTCAGTCCACGGGAGGCTGGGTTTGTTTGTTTTCCCTCCAAACTTTGGTGCGTGGAAAGGCTGTGTGATAACACACAGCCACGCATCGACACAACCACGCGGCGGTACAGGTTCTCTCCAGCAGCTCTGTGTGTGTGTGTGTTGGACAGGAGAAACAAGAGGGCCCCACGGTGCTCCTCAGGTCAGGGCCTGGGAGCGGAGGGGCGGGTGCCCTCTGTGACCCCCTGCTGTATCTCTTCTTGAGAAACTACCCCGCTTTTGCTTTAAAAAGGGCCAGAACCAGCTGAACAAATGTGTGCCTATTTGGTGTAGCGTTTCCGTGCAGTTCAGGTTAATAGTTCAGTTACAGTGTAAAGGCTAAATCCACGTTCTCCAGATAGTGCAGCCTCTACCTCCAAAGAAATAATGATAATAACAATATACACACTAATATTCTCCTTATTGCCTCCCAAAGTGTTAAATCACTATTACAATATGTTATGGCAATTCCTGTTTAGGGGACGTGGGTTTTTTAATGTCTCCTCTAGGATTTTTTATAAAAAAATGAAATTATTCACTGAACACAGACATTTGTCATGGAAGAGAGTTTAAAACCCCCAAACTGGAAGAAAAGCAGCTAAAGTAGAAACACAGCGTAATCAGTCCTGATACTATTCTGCCCACATGAAACTTCTCATTATACAAGTTCAGGGCCAAAAAAAAAGGATGCTTTTACACAGCGTGTTTGTTGACTATTGTCTTTTGCCCTAGACAGGACTGTGGTTCCAGGAACAGCAGATAGCCTCGTGGGCTAATATAAGCTTCCTCAAAGCTAAAATCTGAATGATATAGCAGATTGACAAGATTATAACTGTTTTCTAAGGTTTGGCACCTGGAGTTTTAGCATGGAAAGAGATTTTCAAAACCTACAAGCTTTCGCAGCTTTAGAAAAATGATAATAACAATATCTATTATTGTTATCATAGAATCATTATATTTATATTATCACATTATATTTAAAAAACCATCCAGGCAAAGACTGTCAACCAAAGCAGAGAAGGAAGGACAAATTAGGATGCAGAAAGCCACACTGAAGCGCAATGAAAGCCCGTAAAGCCCCGCAGGGGCGGATTTTAACCCCTGGGGCTTTCTTAGGACCCTTTGCGTTCCCGTTTGGCGCTATTGCGGTGGCTGCAGTTACCATGGGAAGGCAAGGAGGCCTCCCCCGGCCCCTCCATCGCCGCTGCCCCGGGGCTGAGCCAGCGTAGCACCGGGCGCGATGCTCCGGGAGTCGGCAGAGGGCAGAGCTCGGCCCCGGTCCCGGTCCCAGCCCCGGGTACCAGCCCCGGTCCCCGTCCCGAGCGCCAGCCCCGGGTACCAGCCCCGGTGGAAGGGGCAAGCGGCCATCCCCGGGAGCAGGCGGCAGGGGGGATCCTTGCAGCCGATGGCCAGGGAGGGCTGGAATACGTACAGGCAGGCAGGGAGAGGAGCCTTGGAGTAAATCCAGAGGGGAAAATCTCAGTCTTAGCAGCTGAAAGATGCCGAGCGTCCGGCACGCCAGCAGGGAGTGTTTCAGGAGAAGACTGGCACCGTGGTGCTCCAGGGACCACGCAGAAAGTCTTACTGTTACAGCTGTAACGTGGCCGCTTCCTGAGTTATCGCCTTCGGCTTCAAACCTTGCAACCCATCTGAAATGTAGCGGTGTCCCAGCATGATGCACTTAGCACATCTGATTGTTTAATTATCATCCTCCCTTCCCCACATGTAGAATCACAGTTTCACCTGCTCATGTGGCACCCACATGTGCTGTCCTGAGCATCAGCGTGTGAGAGGCTTGGGATCACTGCCAGTCTGGTATCTTCTCCTCCTGCCTTCCTTCGTGCTCTTCGATCGGACTGTGGCTTCTGCATGTTCCTGTAGGTACATAAATATAAATGCATTAACAAAGTAATTGTGAAATGTGTGTAATACTTAGCAGAAACTTTGTTACCTGCTTTGAAAGTAAAAAGTGCCTTCTAAATGAAAATAGTTGGGAGGAATCCTTGTGCAATAGTGAAATGCTTGCCAGTGAGAGTAAATCCAGGGTTTGAATTTTATTTTTTTATAGTTTTCCCATCATTTAAAGCCACATGGACTTTAATTGCTGTCATGATGGTTATTCAACGAATGCATGTCAAGTATTGCTCAATAAACACACCAGCACAGGTGTTCTATCAGAACTACATCAGAAAAGAAAATAGATGTTTATTCTGAAAAATACCCCACTCTAAGTGTTTTCATTGTCATTGCATAAAGAATACATCCCACTTCCTCATACTGTAGCATTATTTTTAAGTTATTAGGCATTTCCAGTGTAAAAAAAGTTGATCTGAAAGAGGCTTCAAACAAGAGGCAGAGGCAGGAAGATGTAGGGAATATAAAAGTTTTTAGAATAGATGCCAAGAAATTTATGTCCAGCAAATGCATGCAGGTAAGAAGAAAAGGAAAATCCCTAGTCGGAAATATAGACAGACTTCCAGGAATCGGGTACTTGCTGTGGGTATTAATTAGATTAATTTGCTCTTGGTCCAAACCAAAGCACGCTGAACAATACAGAGGGATGAATCAGTGATATGTTTTTGGTTCCCGTTATGGTCTGTTTGCGTTGTTTGGGGACTTTATGCACTGCTTTTGTCACAGAGGCTGGTTTCCTCCACCAGTCCTGTCCTCGGGCAGGCTGGCAGCATGGTGAAGCCTGGATAGCAGCATTGCTTATCTTCTTGTAGCAAAGGTAGGATTTGTGCTCTGGGTTTGATGCTGCAGCTCTGGGTTCATGCTATAACTCAGACATTGAAGGTAAGGGGGGGCAGAAGGCAGAAAAAATTATTTTCCCAAAACTGTTAACAGAGTTTGCAATGTGTGGTTAAGATGCCACCTGACCAGAGGCAGTAATTTAATAAACTGAGAGTAGTCCTGGGACTTTGCATCCTCTCCTGTCTCTGCCACTGCTCTCCTGCTGAAATTCTTTAGCTGTCAAATGGATGCTGTAAGCATTGCAGAAGCCATCAGTAAATTGCCTTTCTTTCTAGACACTTTTTACGTGTTGTATAATAACTGGGCATTATTCATCTGGGATATTTTAGAAGAGAGGGCAGATTTCCTGTGGTTCCCTTGTCTCCTCCCTCGTCCTTGCAATACTGTAAGGATGGTGTTAAGTGTGTTTTTCACAATTTCTGCTTGCTTGTTTCAATCAGTTCAGAATGAATGAGTATCCATGTGCTTTTGGTCCAGTTTTGAACGCTTCTTCCCTAACATTCTCTCAAAGAAGTTGAATGTGTGTATGAAGTGAAGTGAAGTCTCTGCCAGGGCAGAGGAAGCTGGCAGTCAGGCAGGAATCCATCATAGAGCACCAACATTAGAGGTGGGGAGCAGGTGAGAAATCTTAAGAGTCACTGTTTGATAGATGTGGGGAAGAAGGAGGTGTTTAAAAAGCATTCCAAAACTTAAGTGTGCAACATTACTCAGACAGTTATTTTAGAAAAATAGACCTTAAACTTAGTAGACTGCTCTCTATTTTCATATCAGTAGTGTATTCAATATTTTCAAGTGACAACATGTCAAGAACAGCACAAACATCCATCCAGCCACTGTCTAGTTGTGCTGACTAGTCATTTCTAATTTGATAATAAGCAGTGAATTGGTTAATAGTGTTGGTACTTAAGTGTGCATGTTTATGCTTCAAGGCTGACACTCCGGTAAGATGAATGGGGGAAGTTCACTTCGCTTGATGCTATTGTTCTAGCTGGTAAGGATGAGGACTCAACAAGATGAAAGTATGTTGGTTTACATTGTCAAGGCTATCTTCACAACCAGAAGCTAGAAACTTCCTTTATTATGAGAAAACAAACACATAAATTCTGGGAAATAGAATAAAACCCTCCATTAATCTGCATGAAAGCCTTAAATCATTCAGATTCATAGATTTCCTACCTATGGTCATTTTTTGCTTCTGCATTTGGAGTAAGAGTTTGTCGTGGTCAGGCAGCGGTGTTGCCCATCGATGGGCTGAGAAATGATTGCAATAAAACCAGATACAGCAGGCCTCCGTTTCCTTCAAAATGTAGCTTTTTGGAAACAGCAAAGAAGCAGAAAGAAATGCTGACTGAATGCTACCCTGGTCTATTGAAATCTGTTGAGAAAAATAAATGAGGTTCTGTTCTTGGCTCCCTTTGTCTTGTTGAACAATATAGGATAACTCGTTTGATCTAACTTTACACTGTAGAACAAGAATGAATGAGTTACGCACGGTCTCTAAAAATGTTGAGAAAGGCAGATGAAAAATTATTACACAATCCCTAAGCACCAAATTGGGTGACCTTTATTTGTACTGAAATAATGAGGACTATTTACAGAGTTACCTACCGTTCACCGTGAGTAAGGATGACAGAATCCAGGCTGATTTTGTCTTGGCCCAAGGAATACTCCTGAACTGCTCTTTTCATTAGGCTTTACAGTTCCATTTTCATAAGATTAAAGGGTCCTGAAAATGAATAAAAGCTCAGGTTAGCAAATGATGCTGTATGTTTGAAGGTATCCACACTCTAACTTAATCGTTGACTATACCTCTGAATACCAGTATCTCATCTGTAATATTACTGCTGGGATTTTCAGGAAAATAGCATGTAATGTCAACTCTGTACTTAAACTGTAACCAACAAACCCTGGGGAGCTATCAAGTTATCAGTCTTTAGTACTGAAAACATAACACCGGTTTAAGTATAGCTACTCAAAATGGGTCAAGTTACAGTGAGTCAAGTTATGTTTTACTGAACTAAAATTAATAAGGTATTTTCAGCCAAACAGGCAAATTCATAAATGTAGATGTTTGTAACCAAGTTCCTGATTATATAAGCTCATTTTTATTTAACCCTGTGAAAATTGGTCCTGTGTAAACTCACACACACACGCAAAAACACCTGTGAAGACTGAAGGTCTCAGTTCTTTGTTGCACAGGACCTCCATCTGGCATGGAAATGCTAGCACTTCAGCAATCAAAATCTGGATCCGATGCTAAGGTCTAAGGTGTTTGGGTTTGGAGTAAAGTGAACTTTGTGTACTTTAGAGGTAGATGCTCTATACTCTGATCTGAGTTGAAATATGTGGTAAATTGGTCAGGAATAAGACAAAATCTTTCCTTTCAAAACTGAAATACTTATGTGTTAGATGTTTCCATAAGTGTTGTCTCATTCTAAAGGAATAAAAAAAAACACAACAAAAAAGAGATATTATAAAGTAAGACCTAAATCCAAGCAAGTCGCTTCTGAAGCAGCAGTAGAGGAAGCATCTTTGGTGACCTGGGTAAAAGAGTTAGTCTTTGTCCTATGTACACTTTAATTAAATGTGTACAGACAAATTTGTGTGTTGGATCAGCTATGAAGTAGAGAATTTGAAGGCTTGTGGCAGCCAGTATTTCACATTTTCATTCACCATTTTTCTGTGATTCTGTAAATATCATGTGTCTCTATTTTCTCTCCAATTCCACTGGTGAATCTCCAAGAGACAGTATAGGTTTGGACCCAAGTGATTAGGTCTTTTTTCAAAGCATATAAATTATTTCTGGGTCATTAATTCTCAGAGAATCCAATCCCAGTTCACTGTTGATTTTGGAAGGAATAAGTTATGCTCTTCAGCCTAGTTAGCAAGGTTGTCACGTGTCTATCTATATGGACTCTTTAACGCGTGCTTTGGTTAAATTAAAGATCCAGACAAGAAACTTTAAGCTTGCTTTTTGTGACACTGAAAAGTCAAGGAATCCACAGATGCCTAAATGAAGTGCTTACTAATACAACCCTTAAAAAGCCTGCAGAATATATTAATCTAGGTTTTCATAATGGTTTTAGACAGAAGGAACAGAAATATAAAAAACCTTGGTACTATTGACTTTACACATGTGCGTGCAAAATTTAATTTTGAAATTAAGAAGTTCAGAACTTCTGAAGTGGAACAGAGACGCAACTGGTTTTTTCAAATTGTACCTTTCTGGTCATCACATAATTTTGTGCTTATGTACATAATATCTATCTATATTAGAAAACTGTTATTCTGATTTTCCTGATGGGAAATTGAGGCACAGAGAGACTAAGGGACTTTTTCCAGATCACAGAGGATGTGAATCAGAGCAGGTTAAATGATCTTGTGTTTAGGGTTAACTTCTAAACTACTATATATCTTTCCTTAGGGCAAACCAATGCAAGCAATGAATTAAACTGCTAAATGTTTGTTTGAAAACCAAAGAAAAACATTATTAATTTTAATTTGGTGAGTAAAAATACCCAACAACCAGAATATTTCTACAGTTGGCCTTATTTTGATGTGTATTTTGGGGAGGAGAAGAATGAGATTGTTATTTTTTTCTCATCAGAAATATCTATGTAGTTTGCCAATATCTGCTTTGGCAGAACTTTACTAGTAATGTATATATTTTGCCTGATTTCCCAAGGCTAAGAAAAACTGTGAGCCAAATTATGTGGCAGGAAAATTTTAAACATGAAAATATGAAATATAATTCAGATTTGATAAATTCCGTGTCAAAAGACACATTACTTTGCAATACTTAAAAGACATTTCAGCCTAAAAATGTACTATTGATTGAGAAGAAAATGAAGGCAGAAATAAAAATTCACAAAACTGAAAACAAGAGTAATAACACTGAGTTTAAAACTGACTCTAGGGAAACATGGACAATTGAACAGGAAGCTGAAAGTATCTTTGAAAAACTCTGTAGGGGATGCAGGAAAATAAGAAACAATACTTTAAGCACATAAAGAAAAAGTGAGATCTTAGTAATGGTTTATATCCAGTACTCAGCAAGGACAGTAAAAGCATGGATCGTGATGTACAAAAGGCAGATGTGCTCATACACATCTGTTTTTCTAGAAATAGTCAGGCAGACCTATTTCTACATTGAAGCTAATGAAAAGTATTTTCTATCCCAGCAGTAGCTAGAAACAATGCTTAACAAATATTAGTACTTTTTTTTTTTTCAGATTAGCAGAATCAGATAATAGGCTTGATATAAGCTAAGGTCGTTTATTTTGGTGTACTAATAATTTTTTAATTACAGAATGTTGGGAAAATTGCAGGTAACTTAATTAATTATATTAAAAATCTATTAAAAATAATAATAGAAAAAGACTGACTAAAATGGTGTTAGTAAAGAAAGAAGTATATATGTAGAGTAGTCATGCAGGGAAAAATATTTCTAGTGTGGTCCTGTGAGGATCTGTTCTTTCTCCAGTGCCATTCAGCAAAGTCTGAAAAATGTGAGATTATCAATAGCTAAATTTACAGGTGACAAAATCATTTGAAAAACAATTAATGATGATGAAAAGGGATTGAACTAATCTGTAGCACTCACTCATTGCTATAGATTCATTAAAATATGATATTTTTTCCACGGCCAAGCCTGAGGCCAAAGACAAAGAATTTACTTAACACTTATTATTGGGGAACTAAATCCTCTAGACCAAGTACTCTAGAAAAGACTCAAATAATAATTTGAAAGTAACCTACCAGAATGATGCTATGATTAAAATGTCAGATGCAATTCTTTCATGTCTAAGCCAGAGAATATGGATGGAGAGGGTGATACTCCCTCTGTGTATGTCATTAGCGAGAGCATTCCTGGAATACTCCGTCCAGTTTTAACATTTACACTTTGAGAAGGACATTGACAAACTGGAACGGGCTCAGAAGAAAACTGCAAGAAAGGTATGAGGTCTGGGAAATGTGCCTTGTACTGAGACACTAGAGAAGCTCGATTTACCCAAGGTTAGAAGGAGACTTCATCACAGTCTGTAAGACCTTTCAAGGAAAAGGTGTTCTTGACCAGTTCTGTTTAGTTAACTAAAAAAGTCTTTAAAATTGAATGTTAATTTTTAATTATGTTGTTACTTGACCATTATCCGATTAACAATAAAGATGGAACTACTGGAAATTTAATTTTGACAATTCTGAGCTGGAACCAGAGCACAAATATCAAGTGATAGTAATTAATGTTTGGAACAAATTCCGACATAGCAATGTGCTGGATTTTCCATCTGTTGCAGTTCTTAAATTGAGCTGTATCATATCTTTCAGCACGACACCCAGTGTAGAACAGATATTATGGCTGATGCAGGAATCTCTGGGTCCTGTCTTCTAATTTATATAGCAGGTGAATTTAGAAGACCAAAAGTTATCTCCTGGCTGTATAGTCAGTCAGGAAAAAGTAACTAGGGTGCCCTGTAGTAAAAAAGACAGCACATATGTACTCCAAATACTACTATCACAATAAAAAAAATACAATGAAAGGGAAAATGATGTTAAAAGACAGAAGAAAGGATTTTAAGGTTTTAATGCATAACTGATGACTAAAAGGCCGTATTTCTGATCCTGAGCCTGCCTCTAACTTCCTTACTTTGTCCAATTCAAGTAATTTTTGCTAGGTGAAGCTTTGTCTAATTTGCTTTTTAATTTCTACTGATGAGTTCAAGTTAAGTTTAAAGCATGCAAATTGAACACACTGACCACTGCAAAACATACTGGATTTGATGTACGGTTGTTGTATGTGCCAAGGAGGCCCAGAGAGTTTGTCTTTAGCCATTCTAAAAAGAGCTGGAGTGCAGATGGGTCTGACTGAAAAAAGTATACAAATATAGCACATGTGTGTTTATGGTCTTCTGTCCTTCTTAAATCAGGTTCTCCATTGGCACTTCATTCCACTCCATTGTTAAATGAGTGTATTGATGGCTACAATATTTTGCGAGGAAAGGCTAAAGGCATTAAGACTTTGGGGTGCTTTTGTTTGTTTTTTTTTCCCTAAAAGGAAGAGTTAAGGTCTGTGATGAGAAAGTGCTTTATAGCAGCAATGGCACATGTATTCATTTAAGAACCATAAGTCCTAGTGTCATCTAGTAATCTTTGGGAAGGCCCATAGATTCAAATGTGCATTATATTTTGTGTTCTATACACATGGGCCAAAATGCAACTCTGCTGGCTGAAGCCCGTATATAACGTTATCTAATGCACTGTCTTCATTTCTGCTGTAACAGGCAGATTTCTCTTTAGTGACCAAAAACATTTATGTTTTTATGCTCTGGTTCATTTTGAGAATACACCCCTGTTTATATTTCAAGCCCTCTTATTAAAACACATATGTCCTTCTCAGGCCGGTTACCAAAACGACTACTTGACAGTCTCAGTTACAGATGCTTTCTGTATCTTCAACAAAAAGATAGTGAGAAATTTGAAAGCTTCTTCAAATAGACAGCCACTTTAAAGTTCTTTACCTGAAAGCTTTTATAATTTACATCACTTGGTCTTTCTCTGCTTCCTCTTATGCTTCTGATAGTGTTTGGTATTTGTTAAACTTCCTCCTTGATTTGGAATATTTCTTGAGCTTGGAAGCTTTCCAGGGAAAAAAGGCTTTCTGTGAACTTTGATAAATTATTTTATTAACAGTGAAAATTTAGTAATTTCAGTTCTAAATACAGGGAGTATGTGATTTTGTTTGTTTGTTTGCTTGTTCTGTTTTTATATCCCAGTAAATTATTCCGCACAGGTTTTCAACAGAGTTGGCTTCATACAGAAAGTCTTTAAGGATTTCATCTATATCATTAGAAAATACTCTGAGGGTGGGAACATCTGGAAATAAACTGTATGACCCACTTTAGCATACTTTGCACTGTGAAAGCTTGTATATTATTTCAGTGGCCCCTGGAGCTGCTGTTCTGGAGGGTTTTGTTCAGCCTGGGCCTCGAAACGACTCATCTCTTCTATCCCTTGCTCCCCCATAATAAATTCATAACATTCAGGATGTGAGGGAGGATTGTGAGCACATTAATATATAGACCTCTTTTGGTTAAAGAATAGTTTGCCCGGCTTAGCCTGTATTCTTCCATTTCAAGGCTTCTGCCTCCCAGTGCAGCCATGAAGAAATTGCTTCCTCGTCTCACCAGGAGAGTCATGATGGCAAGTACCTTGCTCGTTACTGCTACGTGGTGTATTAAAGGCATCTGTATTGAATCATTCATTTGTGCAGCCGTTCGTGCACAGCTTCGTGAATGAAGCAGTGAGCTAATGAATGAACATTCCTACTTAAAACAGACATATATATCTTTCAAGTTGTATTCCTTCATCTCGATGGCATACCTCAGCCCATTGGCTCAGTCCAAAGTAAATCCATAACATGTCATAGCTGGACAGACCTCTGATGAGATTCTTTTCAACAAGTTAGCATACTGTTAAGTCATTATTTTCAAGGTCTCTAACACAGAAGTCCCTTGTTGAACAACTTTGCTTTATTTGGCCCACTGTGTGAAGGCACGTTTGAGTGAGATTTTTAATTCCCAATTCATGAATATTATTCCAACAAAATGTAAATCTTTGTAAGCATTGGACTACTACTGTGCATTCTAATAACATATGGAAGATAATACTGTGCCCATTCTTAATCACTTAATTAAAATAATTGCTGGAACAACTTTATGTAGTAATATATAGGTCTTTTTTTCTGATAAATTTGTGTGGTTAGAATAAGTCATAGAGAGGGATTTTTACTGACTTGTCAATGGTGGTGAGTCTTAAAGCAGTAACTTTAGTAACAAGACACTATATTCATTCCCAGTTGGACAGAGTCTTGAAGAGGACAGAGTGGAGCAGTGGTGCAAGCTGCTGGCAGGGCTTGCCTGGGGATCTTCTGGCTCCACACTGGAGAGGAAACCAAAGAGAGAGTGTTGGCTCCCTGAGCCTCCTAGTTGGATCTAACCTGTCATATTTTCAAAACACTCAAGCAACTGCGGGTGTCTTTTGGAGGAAGTAATTGCTTTTAGCATTCTTTTTCTATTGCTTTCTGACCATCTCAGTACTTTCTTAAGGTGTTGCCCTTTGTAACAGGAATGTGAACTGTATGAGGGCCTAAAGAAAATGAACAGTGACTCAGAAAATGAAAATTATCTGGAAAAACCACATTCCTCAGGAATACAGTATCACGGAGACTTGATTATTTCTTGTTGTGGAAGGGGCCAAGGTGTTTTATGATACCATACAGTTGTAGCTGAGGTTGGCCTGTAGCCCAAGCAACTAGTCATTCCTTTCTGGTGTATTTCTGTATGGGACTTATGCTGAAATGCCCACAAGAGATTTGGGTAACTCTCTACAAATGCTTTTGCAGGTAGTGAGTGTTAATATAATTTAAAAAATCTGTTGTTTTCCCACCCCTCTCCTACTCTTCACCTCTCTTTGTGAAAAAGGTAAATCATTCAGAAGTTGCTTTCAGCAAATACCAGTTTGTTGAATTTACAGGAAGGGCTGCAGTTCCTCTATGCACATGATGCTTTCTAACACATCACAGGCATCTTAAATAAAAACCATAAAAAACACACATGAAAACAAGCAAATTCCTTTCCTCCCAAAACATCCACGCAAGAAAATGCTATGTAGCTAAGTGTGCTAAATACAGGTCTACCAGCAGCTTGTGTACCAAAGTATGCTGACCGAATTGTGGATATCCTTTTTGAAAATGAAGGTATAAGACTCCTTCTTTCTTCTACCACTACAAGCTGAAAAAACCAGACATATTTAGCCGTCAGCTGCCGAAGGAAATGTCACTTACCAATGTTTAGGATGATAGATTGCGTCCTTTAGATGTACCATTCTCTCTCCTTCCTCTCCAAGGAGATCCATTCTCAATTTTTTACCCTTAAAACCTAAAAGAATCATAACAAAAGCTTCTCACTTAATTCATCACTTCCACTTCCTCCATTTTGTGAGCATTTACATAGCATAAAATGTGGTGCTTGTGGCACTCTGCTCTTTGCCCACAATGTAAGCTTCAGAGCAGCTATGCTGGTCAAACAAATGGAACTGTTTGGGTTTTTTTTAAATTTAAAAAAATGAAATCCTTTCTCAACTACTCTTAGAAATAACTATATGAAAAGAAGTTTGTCCTTTATGTGTTCCGCATATAAAATTACTTCTGAAGTATTTTAAGAAGTTTTTGATTAGCAGCATTCGAAGATAAACAGGACCAGGAAAAATGAGAAGTCTAAATCAACAGCTTCCTATAATCTGGAATATCTGGGGTATTATTTGCTGTGTGCAGTGTCAGGGTATTCAGAAGGTGAATGTTTCAAGGCCTTCTGTCTTAGAGCACTGTTATCTCCATTTCAGTGCCATCTCTACTCAGTGTGGGCTAGAGTCAATGCATATACAATTTTTTGCTATAGTTTATAGTTTTTTACGTAACAGAAATACATCTCTGAGATGTCTGAATTGGGTCTGAGCATCCCTGGGGGTGCAACATTATGGAAATGAGCTAACACTGCTTCTGGATTTGAAGTGGGCATACAAGTAATATATCAGTGCTCGCCTGCAATGTGTCTGAGCTAATTATTCTTCTGGATCCAAACATGCCAGCCCTGGTCTGTCTGTGTCTATACAGACAATAATTGCCTGCAGATAGTGATGTACTGTTAAGGACACTTTGGACATATATAAAGAGTCAGTCAGGAACCTTCCATTCATCATCTTGCACAGAGAAGAGGAAAAACAAACCCACCTTAACTCTTTACTGATCTCTTTTCTTTTTTAACATCGGTGATAGACCTTCAGTCAGGTTTCCTGCACAGTCTGTGTTCTGTACCGAATGTAGCAGTGTCATCCAGAGAGAGTAGGAAAGCTCCTGAGATTAGACACTGCCCTGGGAGGAATGATACGGGATCCTACCAGAGCTTCTGCAGGTCAGTAGCACGCAACTGAAAATGGACAGTAACAGAGAGATGTTAAAGGAAAAGTGAAGGAAAAATACCCAACCCAACAAGGAAATATTTGATATTTATGCAAACTATTCCATCTCAAGCAGTTTGTGGCTCAGGAACTTTTTCACCCAAAGTGTTGTCTCATACTTAATAGTCACTAGTCATTGCCATGAGTTTAGCTGGTGACCTTGGCAAACTTATAGCACCTACAACTTCTGTTGATCCATTCATATGAACTACCTCTCTCAGATCATTTTGGAGCTGGTGCCTGCTACCTTCATTTAATTCCCACTAGTTCCTAAATTGGCAGAAAACATTGACCCTTTTCACTCCACTCATGATTCCATAGATGTTTATTCTACTGCTGCTTTAGGACCTCCTTCTAATTTAAAAATGAACCATTTAATTCTGTCTTGTTCCTTTAACAAATTAAGATATGAAGACCTTCTATTTTATCCCAAGGCTGTTTAGTTCTTTTAAAAGGTTTTAGTGAAAGATCTTGTCAAAAAACAAGTAAGCTTTATCTTTTTTGTTATATTTTTTAAGAAATTCCCTGTGTCATTTAAATTTATATATCCACCATTTTTGCTGTCTATTATAGCTTTAACTTACTTTCCTGCTACAAGATCAGTTTATTGACCTGCATTTCCACAGATCTGTTATTTCTAGGTATTTGATATCACGTTAGCTGCCTCTTGTCCATCAGTGCAAAGGTGTTTTTAAGAAGAGATGTTGATAAAGGGATAATACATGTTTAACTCCTGTTAACATGATGAAAATGGAATTGAACACACTTCTCACCTGGCATAAATAGCAGCACTGATTCTGTGTAAGAACAGACTCTTTCAGTTTTGTGAATCATACCTCTTTTTTTCTTCAGCTTTTTTTTTTTTTTTTTTCGTATCTGTGTACATTGCATCACATTGGGCAAAAGAAAACAAAAAAAAAATGCATTTTGAGTCAACTAGAATAAATTGTGGTTTTCAGATATATTTTTTTTTTCCCTGGTTTGTCTTGAAAAAAGTAAAATCTCCATTTACAGTGCAACCACTTTCCAGGAACCACATTATAACATTTGATTCTGCTCTGAATATGTACTAAGTTTTGACTTTTTTTCTTTAAACTCAATACGATGTCTCAGTTCATACATCTGTGAGATCAAAAATGAGCAGTTCCAAAGCACTGGGTAGGAAATCTCTTGAAAAAGCCCAGGTGTCTGAGGAACAGTTTGACAAGCGGAGAGACAAAAGGAGCACAGGGAAAGGGAGAATGTCAGAGAAGTGTGAAGACAAAGGGTCCGGAGGCAAGGTTCGTGCTCAGTGTCATAGGGGGAATAGAAACTCCACCGGTGTCAGCTTTCTCTCTGTAATGCATCTCTGTCTCGGGTCGTGCTAAATAGATTGGCATGTACTGCTGACAGCCTATTACTTTACAACCTGTGTGCTTTTTTATATATTTAGATAATAGTACAATTCAATCCTTTAGCTAGATTATCAGTAGGATGTAATGACGATCCACATATTTATACATTTGTTTTATGGTAGTATAACAGTGAGAGAAAGGTTGTCTTTTCTGGGGACTCTGGTGACACCAGATTTCCTCAGAAGGAGCAGAGAGAACTGGCCTCTTAACTCATCTCTCCTTCTGCTACCGAGAGCTGTCTGGAGATGGAGTCAGTGGAGCCCAGGGATTGGCTCCGTCTCATATAAAGTAGATATCTGCAGTAAGTCAGATGTTTTGTGCTTGAAAATACTTGCTCTTCCAACTGTAAGTTTGCATATTGTCATTCTAGGCTACAAATGGCTTAAGTTACACGAGGTGAATCTCAGTTCAGGATGCCTAATCTTTTCACCACTAATGCTGCTGTACTATTTAGCCAGCAAAACAGTATCTAGTTCTACATCTGAGAACAGAAATATTTCAGGGAAAATTTAATAAATTGCCAAATGAGCTTTATTTTCAGTTTGTCTCGCTTCTGTAATATTGCTTTCACTAGATTTAAGGCAGAGGAAGCTGGCGAGCTTTGTGTCTATCCCCCATAACAGCAGTCACCACGAGAGGATGGACAGCAAAAGCCAGTCCATCCAACTTGTCAAAGGTCTCACTTTCAGACATCGTTTCACATCGCACCCCCAGCACACCAAGAGCAGCACATCAGGAATATCTGTGTGTGAGGGCATGGAGATGGCAGGTACCACCTGAGGCTTGTTTGAGCTGGGGGTCGTGTGCTTTGTGGTAGGAAGGAGATAGTACTAATAACTGGGGCACGTGTAAATTTTTCACCAGAAAGGGCGGTTTGCCAGTCTCTAGGCCTTGCTAAATACATTAGCTTTCAGTCGTACACCGCTTTTTCTGCAGTGTAAATTCCTTGTATGTCTCCAGAATGACCTCCCCGTGGGCAGGGACACGGGTGGCAGCTGGGGACTGTTCAACTCACAGGTTTCCACCTTTTCCACTGGGAACTGGGCTAACCAGCGTGATGGGACCTAGCCGTATCAGAATAAATGTCCTTGATTGTTCAATAGATTTCTTTCAAACAAATGTAAATCCTGATATACGAGGTCTGGCTACAGTTTCAGTGGTTTGTTTTGCTTTAACTAATCAATGAGGGCCGTACTAAAATAAATTTGGGGTTAGCAAAACTCAGAGTCTATCCAAGAAACTGTTTTCTGTTTGTTTGTTTTTAAATCAGCTTAATTAAATAAATTGACATTTTCACCTGGTACAGAAAAGCTATAGCTTTTATGTTTTTTGAAAAGATAGGTCTTCAGGTAATGACAATAATATGAAAAATATGATTTATGATCAAAGTTTTATGAATGTGTCTATATCCAGCTGTTGAAAAATGCTGAGAACTTTTCCAGCCAAGGCCTTACGGATACCTTCATTCCATGGCTGCTTTTTTTGTCCATACTTTTTTCCAAGATGCAGTATAATTCCACGTTTTAGCCAAAGGCTCCAGTCTCATGCTATATAGGCTGTCAGTTGATTCTTTGTCTTCCTGCTTTTCTGCAGCATGCCAGCACTGCTTCTTGCTCTCCAGCTTTCTTTTGGAGAGCGATTTAATTGTATTTGAATGCCTGGTCCCTGGGCTGTCCCGTGGAGCCAGGTAGCTGATGATCAGGAAGCCAGTCTTTGGAGTCCAAGATTGCAGCTGGAAGCTGCTGGAACAGACTCACTGAATAGGAGCTGCTGAAAAACAGAGTGGCAGCAGAGGCTGATAAAGATGAGCTGTAAAAAGCTCTCTTCAAATTCTCCCTCCTGTGGAGGGCATTCCTCTAAGTGCCAACCCTAACTTTCTGGAAAAATCTCACAAGACCCAAGATCTACAGGGATTATTACATTTTTTTTTAATTACAAATTAAATGCAGTGACTTGCGGGGGCTGAGTGCTCCCCCATACATGGAGGCTTTGCAGTTTTCCTTCTGCTCCCCCCGAAATCAGCTGGAAATCACAGTGGATCTGGGTGGAAACAGAATCCACACAAAGTTCAACTTGTTTTTCAGCTGAAAGCTCGCAAGGATTTTATCACTGGTCAAAGATTCCCTCCTGTCTCATGCAGAACTTTCTATTAACCATATAAGCAGTATTTTTCCTCACTAGCACATGTTCACAGAAACATTAGAACTGCCATACCTAATCAGAGCAGCGGCCCATCTCAGCTAGTATCCTTGGCTCCAAGGGTACTTCACCACCTCCAGAAGGTGAAAGAATATTCATAATACCATACCCCAGGAAAGTATCTTCCTACTCTTTGGCAGTTTTTGGCTAGCTATTGCCCTGAGCATGAGTGTTTATATTCCTTATACTCTTTTATCCTATCTTAGTGTCATCTATCATGTATATTCTATTGTTTGAACTATTCTCTGCAGGTTTAGGCATAAAGGTCGCAATAGGACAGAGGTCATAAGTCACAGTAGATCAAAAGCCATAGCGTGTCAAATGTTGTAATATAATTCATGCTCATGTATACAGCACATATATAAAGTGATAGCTCATGCTAAGGCATTGCCTCACATTGCTCTTACAGCTACAGCTCCCCTAAGAGCGTTATAATATGCTATTGACTTTCTTGTGGATTCATCGTGCTGTGAATTATTTCTGGCCAGTGGAATGCATGGAGTTACCTTTTGGGTATTACTTAAGCAGGCGTCTTGTGATTTTGCCAGAGATCTTTTTTGCAGGAGTCAAGGTGTGTATTGTTTCCCTAGATTATTTTTAAAAAAAAAAAGAAAAAAAAAAAAGAAAGAAAGGGAAAGAAACTGAAGATTTACACTTTGGCTTAAAGATATATTGGGTATATGAAAACAGCTCTTTTTTTTTTCCCTCCCATAAAAGAACTGATCCCATGGTCTCAGCAGGGATGTGTACGCGAAGCCATATTCAATAAACCTTAGGTGCCACAATTTTTCTCTATTTCCTCTTAAACCAAAGAATAGACAACTGCCACATATCCTTTTGTCCCCAGCATTCAATCTTTTTAATTTCCTACATGCAGTTAGTCACATTTTTTCCCTCCCTCTCTCTTTGTTCTGTTCCTCTTGGAACAAAAAAAGAGATAAGGAATAAAACAAAAAGCACTGTAAATGATCCTCTTCCTAAGGACGCTTTACTCCTCCTAACTGTTTGACTTTTCACCCCTTGGGTGCTTAGTGGAAAAGCCATTACTTGCTTGCTGAGGAAAAAGCATTTAATGAATCACAAAATCATTCAATTATTCTTAAAAACACTTCACATCACACATCTTTTTCCAAGTAAAGTGTGCATTTTTCACATTTAAATGGTGCATAACTGCCTCATACAATGTGTCCCTGGAGTTAGAGAAATTTTAACAGAGGGGTTCCAGGACTACACAGAGCATTTTGATATATATTAGCATTATAGACCTCGCATTAAAGATGCAGAATTTCCTCTTCTCTCTTCACTGTCTTTCAACAATATTTATGCAAAGTTGCCTTTCTGCTGTTGTGAGATGTCCAGCTTTACACTGAGCTGAG